TTAAAATAGATGCTTGTTAAAGATCAGATGATTTATTTTTAGTCACTCTCTATAAAGAAATAGGACCAAAAAATAAGAGTTAAAAACAAGAAGGTTTAAGGAAAACTTTGCACAGCTGGCAACATGTGCAGACCTATGAACATAAGAGCGTTTGAGCTAAGTAGGTAAACACAAAGGCAACTAACAATCCTCTTACATGAGCTGTAAGATCACTTACAGCTCATGTAAGAGGTGACAAGGAAAGGACTTGATGGTGCTAGAATGATAGAGCCAACTGGATTCTCCACAGGGACATCTGAGCAAGAAACAGGGGAAACTCGGACTCACCAGAAGTCTCAGGGACACTCAGGGATACTGGAAAGGAAAGAGCTGCTGTGGGTGGGTATTAATAATGATAATAATAATAATAATAAACATCTGACTAGAGGGGTGCTTGCTTGACGCAAACTCAGAGTACGAAGAAGGGCTTAGAGGTGGATATAGAAGAAACTAACGTGCACTACAGAAGCACAGTAAAGCGCTTCTGCTGTGACAGTAGCAACATCCTGATTAAACACATCAATACATCCATTACAAAGATTACATAGAACTCTTCCTCCAGACATGAGATGGGAAACAGCTGACCACACCATAAATGCTGACTGGAAACTATCTCTGTCCACACACACACACACACACACACGCATGCATGCACGCACGCACGCACGCAGGTATAGATCTGTTACCTTCAGGAAGATGCTGTCACCATCAAAGACTAACAGCACACATCAAAGGTTTTCAAAAGTGTGTAGAAGTGAGCGTGTGTAGAAAAAAAGTAAGAAACAAGGAGAGGCAGAGAACGAGAGTGTGTGTGTGTGCACTCATGCTTGTTTGTGTACTGATGTGTGTGTGAACTGTAGAGCATGAGCGTAAATCGGCAAATGCTGAGGTTTTAACGAGTCGCCTAATCACCCAAACACCTCCTGCTGACATTTACAGTCCTTGCCGATGGGGTGGCGTGACCACACACACACACACACGCTCACACGCACACATTTTCAGTCTCTAAACGGGACAAACAACTTGCTTTCTTCTCTAGTTGAAGGACACGGTGACCACACAACCACGGTGCGTCTTCCTCTCGCTCATGCGGACACACATTTTCTTCTTCTGCCTTCTTTTATTTATAATGTCGCATTAACTGCAGACTCTGCTCACGCGTAAACACAAATGTGCGCACACAGCGATGCAATGGCAAAACTGAATGTGCATGTCTGCTGATTCACATGTGCCGTATACTTCCATCAGAGCTCCGCGGGGATATCAGCAGGGGGTATGTGTGGTCAGTAAATACTCAGGGAAGGTTACGAATGACACACACACACACACAGTCTCTGTTCTATGTCATCAGTCTCTCACATCAGTCAACTTGGCCTCTCAAACTTTTTTTTTTGTCACAGCAAATGACACCAGCTCTTGGAGAAATAAACAACGCTGCGCACCGACACAACTTAACACACACCACAAGGCCTGCTTACCTCACACACACATAAATAAACACCCAGAAAACAGCTTGACTTTAAACAGAATTTTTAAAGACCCACTATATTACCATTAGATGACTTTTTAAAGGGTAATTACGACCTTTTTTTCTACTATGATCTATTACTGTTACTTGTTAAGAAGGCATTGTGGAAAATGTTTATGCTTAAAAATAAAGCGGTTTCCTTCTATAACTTCTATCCAGCAGCCAACAGAGGTCAGTGATCACAACCAGAGTTCAACCAAAACAACTACACACTTTAAACATACTGAAAAAGATCTGAATTGATATTTAGAGGCCAGCTGTAAACCTTCAAGGGCATATTTGTCCTTAACACCTGCTGATCCTGACACACACTAATCCACACACTTCCCCCCAAAGTCACACAGTGCCACACACGGAAAACACAAAACCTAAGTGACAACTTTGCAGCCCGATGTTGCGGTTGCTGAGGGGAAATTGTGCCATCTGCCATTAAACAACACTCATTTTACCCCTACTGCTCGTCCATCTGTGGATGTGGGGAACTCTCCTGGAGGCCAGAGGGCCACGGGGGAGACAAGACGCAGGCCAGAGACGCCTACGAGGAGCAGTCCCAACTGGACAGCAATGAATTGTCAACACTTGAGATTCTTACTTTTTTAAAATTCAATTTGAACCTGAAATTTGGGGATTTTTAATAGTTTCACATAAAATAAAAATGTAGCTTCAACCCTCGAATGCAGAATAGTCCTCTTAGCCAAAGTAAGGGTGTGTCTGATATTCCCTTGTTGGTATTTCTGCATCTTCATAGTAATGTTGGTTTGGGATCAACATTCAAACTGACCAATCACGTTGTTGTAATGGAAAAAACGGGAAAACTGTTTTTTTTTAAATATTAAAGTCTATTCTTGAACCAATGATAAGCATTTTAAGTGTATTCTTTATTAATTTACACAACACAATAAACATGTTGTCAAGTTAGCTTGATAACTGTCGGTGTGCTAGTGTTTGTTTTAGCATTAGCATTAGCCAATTTCTTGGCTAATGCTAACTCAATGCTCAGATAATGTCATTGATCACTTTTAAGATGATGTGTGAACAAAACCAACCTGTATTTACTACTATTTCTGCTATGACTGAAAGAAAAACAGCTAACAACACTTCCATGACAACCCCCCCCCCTCCCAAACATTAATTTGTGCCAGATATTCAAGTGAAACAAATCTCAGAAATAATATCCAGATCACAACAGGACTTCCAAGTGTCACGAAGGCTGTAAAGAAAGTACCCACTTAACATCAGACGTTGGTGTATTCGCTGTTTCTACACCGATCAGTCAAGGGTTTTCTTTCTTTAGCCCAAAAATATCAACTGAAAATGTTTATATTCGATCTGATTTGGCCCAAGATGTGTTTGTTTTGGACCTGCAAATAGGGCCTGTAAATGTCCCCCCCCCCGGAAGAAATAATACAAACTTTAGCAGACATAACAACTTTAAGATTTGGTTGAAAAGCCAAATGTGACAAAAAAAAGAGTCTTTCCAGCTCTCTGAAAGGACATTTTAAGAAAAAGATGCTGCTTTACATGCAAACCCACTGTGCAATTTGAATCAAAAAATGACATTTAGATCAACCTCATGTGCCTACACCCTCATCAGAAACACAATATCATAAAATGACCTAAAGGAGTATCGCCACAACCCACTTTGTTTGTTTGTTGAGCTAATCAGCCACTCTAAAACACCATGTCTATTATCTTAGGGGTGTGGTCATAAGGCGCTATGACAATCCAGACGACTGAATGAATAAGGTTGCCATGCAACGCACCATTGAAAAGGAATTAAATTTACATGTAGATGTAAATAAATGGGCAAATACATCTAACCTTCATGTAGCTGTCCTACATTCAAAAAAAAATTTGTGCCCAAAAATGCTGGGAGCTTAACAGCGAAAGCTCAGAGCTGTTTAGACGTCTAGCAAAACCCATTTCTTTCCAGCAAGTTTTGACTGGGTGGGTAATTATGAAGGTGAACAAAGAGTCTCGCATTTTCAGTTTGATTCTAAGGTAAAAAAGCTTTCTATTGCACCAGGAAGCGTCCTTGGCAGAAGCACTGCTGCACGTGTTATCACCACAGCTATCCACTTGACATCAGATGAATCATCACACCCCAACATTAGGAACTTGAAACAATATCCTCCTCAGAGCCGTGGGCTCCGCGTGCATTTGGCTGCAGGTACACGAAGATCACAGCCTGAACACCCGCCACCCAGAGGGGGGTAAAAAAAAAAAACACAGACACACACTCAGCTTTTTGGATGATCCCACGCATGAGAGACTGTGATGGCTTCCAGCAGGGAAGGCAATCAGGCAGACAGAATCACACATTGTCTTTCCTTACATTATGCGTTTTACACGAGAGAGGGCGGGGGACAAGTCTCTTTTTAAGTCGCTGGATGCAGAGGATAATGTGGCTATTTAGCAGTTATCTCTCAAAGCTGTGTTCATTATCACTGATCAGCAGATTAAGTCCCACAAACACAAGACTCCACTTTGGTGACTTAAGTCCAAGTCTTGAATCTCAAAGTCTGCATCTCTGCTCTGACCTCAGTTATTTGGGCGACAGCCAAAACAAACTGTACACACAAAAGCAGCAGTTAGAAAAGCTGTAATACCACGATCTTTTACACTCATGCACAAAGTGTCTCAGCTTGCGTAAGACAGCTGGGCCCTCTCCAGCAGGCGCCCGGGCTCCTCGTCTTTCTTAATGCGCTGTACCGTGTAAAGAGTGTCAAAGACTCATTTTAAATAACCCTCACATAAAAAGGAAAAAAAAGGGAGGGGAGAGAAAGAAGTGTTGGCTAACGCCTACGAATAAAGATTACTCTGTGTTGTTTTTTTTTTTAATAGCAATACGGAGAGATTAAAGCAAACGCAGTCAAAGTTTATTTTGGATTGATCTTTGGGTATTTCTCTGCCTCGAGAACAAAGAGGGAAAATCTCGCTAAGCTCAGCGAACCGAGAAGAGGCCAATTAAATCCTCCTCGGACAAAAAACGTCATAAAAATTTTTTGTTGAAAAAGAGAAAGGACTCCATTCGCATAAACAGTAAATGGGACTTTTAAATACCATTATTTGAAGTGATGAACACAGAAAAATTAATGTCTTTCAAAGAACATGGAAAAGAAAGCAATGAACAAGAGTGCACAAGAAGCACTGTTTAATGACCTTTTCTACCCTTTCAATGTAAAGCCAACATGTGGATTATTCAAATCACGATTAAAAAAAGGAGCTGGAACCACTCAGAGTTTGGTATTTTTAGCTAATAATATAAATCACAACGCATTAAAGGGCATCTTTGCTCAAATTGTTCTCTAAAATGATGTTGCAATAAGTTTGAGGCACAAAATTCAAAATGAGTTTTCTCAGCGTCTTAAGCAGACGTAGGACAATTAATAATGTGGCATCAGCAGTGTGGGGTTGGATGTCTGTCTCCTACCTGTGGGCTGAGCAGTGGGCAGCCCGGCTGGAACGACGGTGAGAGGAAGGAGGAGAGAAAGCCAGAGTGAGCACCACAGAGCAGTCATTCCTCTGGGCGAAGAGGTCAGACGCAGAGCAGCGAGGCCCGACTCCAACTTAGACAACATCCTCCGTTCGCATACTGTCCAGCAGAAGGGCGGCCGCAGATGCCGCAAGAATCTGTCCGACAGCTCCCCACCACGGACCTGAAACAAGCAGCAGAATCTGTCAAAGAGAAGCCAGGATGTCCATTGAGACTATAAACACAGAAATCAACACAGTCTGAAACTTAAAAAAACCCAACATCAAATGGCTGTACATTGAACGCAGTGCAACAAAGCGCCTTGGGGTCTGTGCACATGCTAACGTGTTTTGACCTGAGAGTCCACACAGATTTTAAAGATTAGACGGGAAATCCCTCTTCAAAGTTTTTTCTTAGAAACTTTCTCTGAGCACCTGGTTCTTAGGATGGGAAAACAGAAATTCCAACACACGAACAGCTCAAAGTGAAAACTTCAGTACCCTACCGTGAGTTCAGATCACAAGCTCAACAATCAGTCAGTTAACTTGCTCATTGTTACAGAGCTAAACAGCCTGACGCTCTTTTCCCGGGGACTCTTCTCGACAAAGTCACCCTCCATTATCAGACTGCAGCGTGGTGGCTACAGAAAGGGATAGCAGAGTGTTCAGCCCCTAAGTTTTCCCGAGAAAGGAAAAGTTGGAATGCCCAGTGAGATGTGAGTGAAATGCCCAGAAAAGTAAAAGAAAAATCTTCCCACACGAGCACACGTAAACACACATGGTACCACTATTAACCTAAACGTCAGAGGGTCTGTGAATCTTCTGAATACCTTTGGTTGTGGGACGTCTACCTTAACACACACACTCCTACGGAGACGTTTATTGAATACACATGCTAACATTACAGAACGAGCTTCACTTGCACACACTGAGGTGTATTGCACACAGACACACAGTCAAAAGAAAGGTTGTGTTGTCTTAAGTCTTAACAGTACTGTTTTTCTTTCCCTTGCAGGACCTGTGACCCACTCCTCGCTTAGCACAAGTGCGAGGACGCATTTGCACGTTATCGAGCTTCAGTAAAGAAAAACACAGACCGGGGACACTTCACAAGACACACGTGGATAAATAAAGCAGCACACACACACACGGTGTCCTAATTTAAACAGTGCCACCGCACCTTTTACCCGTCAACATACTTCAGCCTTTAATGTTCTCCTTATGAACTCCCAGGAGTCCTTCTATTCCCGTCTCAGCCCATCCTCACCTTCTTACAACACGAGACGCCTACATGCTGCTGAGGTTTGTTTATATAGCACAATAAGGCCTTCGCTCTCAGGCCGTGGAGGTTGCTGATTACAGGCCTCTCTAAATCTAAACTTTTGTTTTCTCTGGCAGGCACAGAAACACACACACACAGAAATAAATATATACATACATACATATATATAAAATAGTAGCTTTTTACAAGGCAGTACACTTGGAGAGCTGACAGGGCTTCAGAGTTGGTTCATATCAACCCGTAGATCTGTTTAGACAAGTAGCATGACAGCCTCTCAAACCATGTGAGAAGAAGATCGAATACAAAAGCAGCATTGACTTATCTGGTGTCAGGTAGGGGTTTAGACTAGGCCAGAGTCCACGGCGAGTGTTTGAATCTGAAGAGCAGCAAAGTGCTGCAGTGTAATTGATGCATTTAGGGTGAAATAAATGACAGCCATGTGCAAGAGCAGTAATTAATGTGTGCCCCTTATTACACACAACTACCTGATATCCTCACTGAAAATGAAACTAAAAACACTTTGATATCACTTAACAACCTCAAATAGCTGAGTAGAAGAAGAACATGAGGTAATATGGATCCCAAAGACCGAGAGAGGAGTTCAAAGCCACAAATTTTCATGCTAATATTTTCTTAAAGCATGGCAGGGAAACACAACTACAGCAATGAATAAGGCATGAGCATTAATCATGCAGGACTATCTTCACATTGTAATAGCTCAGGGGTGGAAAAACGCTTCAACCCGGGTTCAAATCCCTGCCATCCCTCTATCCTCAGTGAGGAGCACGCAAGGAAGTCACATGCTAGTCACACCTCCATGGAGTGTCAGCAATCTTTAATAATTAAGTCGGATAATCAGCGGCTGGGGCCGGATCAGCTTTGTGTTCTTGGTGGGGGGAAAAAGGGAGATTAGAGGGGTTTTTGGAGAGTGGAGCCAAGTGGAGGTTAGATGGGTAATAAAGAGACACACAAGTGGGTCATCTTCCTTTGCAGCACGCCTTTCTCCACTCCAGCTTTTTTCTTTTGCAATGCAATGCATGTCTCACACCCACCATCTCCCTTCTGCCTGTCCCTTCACGACTTCTTGCCTGCCTTCATAGCTGAGCCACCCTCTCTTCAGAGAGCTCGCTCGAACGAGTCCTCAGGTGAGAAGAGATATTGATCAGCTGAGAGGCAGAGGAGAGCTCGGCACTTCAGCGCTGTCAGAGGTTCAGGGGTGACTCCGGGCTCAGCTCACCTCGGGCTGACACTCAGACGGGCGGCGTCTCGTCTGAGACTCAGCCTGCACATGGAAAAAGATCCGAACGCCAGGGCTTTGTCCTCTGTGTTAAAGCAGAAGATACAGATGGACAGCGAAGTCCCTTTTGATATTACAAAGACTACATGAAGTGCTGCTAGCAGACACTGGGGGACATTAAAATGTTATAAATCGTACTAAGGTTGGTATAAACTCAGCTTTTACTACCTCAGACATGTGAGAATCCTAATTACAGGGGAACAGAAAGACTAGAAGTCCTTACATATATAGGCACAAATTTTATATCAGAGGTATAGTGTAAAGCTCAGATAAGGTCACATAAGTTTGTTTTCTTTAAATAATAAATGAGTGTTTGTGCATGAAAGTAATGATCCTTTTTCTCTGTCAAATTAGACAAGCTGAAGCAGATTAATGAACCCTTCTCTTTATGAACGAGAAGAAAAACGTAAAGGCACTAAACCAGGAGCAGAGCGATGGTCTCGGGCCAATTTCACTAATGAAAAGAGGCAATCAGAGTCTCATTTGGAACCGAAAGTGTCTGAGGCTCGCCTCTGATTGAAAAAGCTGCACACTGGCACGCATTATTTCTCGGGTCAATAGATACAATTAATTTGGAGCATTAGCACAACTATTATCGGCCGCACGCTTGTTTATGACAGCATTTTTTTTCTTCTTTTTTTTTAATAAGCTAAAGCAACAGAGCCCAAATCTCATTTTCAGCGTCTCTCTCGCAGGACGCAATAATCTAATAATTTTCTTCGGGTTGGGAGTTGACATGATGGGAGTCAAAGCCGAGCTGAGTGGCCAAAAAGGAGAAGAAGGAGAAGAAAAAATCACCATCTGAATCCCATTGATGCGCATGTGTTTGAAGAGGGGATGAGTGATCTGCTGCTGAGGGGAGAGAACCGCACAGTTCATTCACTGAGAGGGAGAGGAGGGGGGACAATCCGCCGCTTTCTAACTTCAGAGATGATCAGAGGATTTGGGGGAGTGCGGCTCTGTGAAAGAGATGTGCAATTCATATTTCAGCGCCAAACCTGAGAAGACGTCACTACTGCGGTGAGGAGAAACGGCGTGCCCATCCTAACGAGCACGGGGATGGCTGGATTTTATTTATTTATTTATTTATTTATTTATTTATTTTAAAAAAAACCAACAAAATAAAATCAGGATAGGTTCGATTCATTCTGAATGAAGAGCGAGCTCACCTCAAACGAAATCTGGCAGGTATCACCACAAACCACCCTTTGTGTAAGGATAAGCGTGCGTGATTTCATTTGGCCTCTTTCTTTCTAAAACACTCAGTTTCACAGTTTCCCTCATTCGTGGATTTTTCTGTAAATACTGAAAAACTGGAAAGGATGAAGGGAATGACTTTGGATGTAGAGAGAACGCTTTAGCGCAAATTACTTTTTTCCTCTCACTGAAAAATCAACCAAACTCAATCAACTGCTGGAAAAAGCATACACGTTTCCCAACCCAAATATGTTTTACAGTATTTTTTCCACTCGTTTTTTTCTTACAGCGTGCGTAATTTCAGCAACACACACACACACCTCCACAAGCTACAACAGAAGCCGCTTTGCGCTCCTGCTCCGAACCCGTGGCAATAGATTTGCGCACTGACTGTTGATTCCTCCAGAGTCTGCTGACACTGGCCAAGATGCGCCAATTGCGCACAAACAGGGACCTCCACGCCACCTGTGCTGTGGCACAGCCGCGGGGCTGCTTCACGACTCACGCAGTGTACACAGTGCTCAAAGCTCTAACCTGTCCACATCTACAAGGAAGTGAAGCTGTGAGACTTATGTGTCTGAGTCTGCGTAACCTGCTTGTAAATAATAATAATAATAATAATAATAATAATAATAATAATAATAATAATAATATTTACCCACAGTATCCCGTTTTGACAGAAAAGATCAGCCTTCAGAGTTTAGATGGCACCAAGCTTTCCTTTGGTGAAATAGCCTCTAGTCTCCGGTAAACTTCACAAAAACCCACAAAACTACTTTTAAATCCTCACGTTCCAGCGCTTGGAGAGCAGTTTAGCGACAGCGGAAAAAAAGAGTCACAAATCCCCCCCTCACGACTTGAAGGCGAGTGTCTTCGCCAACTTCTCTCCACTAAATCCCGTCCTCCGCCGCGCGCTGCTGTCCGCGTTGTCCAAAGTGTCCAGTCCTCCAAAGTCCGTTCATCCTGTCCTGCGAGGGGGCAGAGTGGACGAGGCGGACGGGGACGCGGGATGCGCGGTTCCTTTGCGTCTCCTCCGGCGCAGATGCCAGTTTCGGTGCGTTTCGTCGCTTCTGATCAACCAACGCAGAGTGGTGACTCTTCTCCTCTCGCTGTCTGTGAAGTAGGAGTTGCAAGGTGCTGCCGTCAACCGTGCACCGCTGGGAAACACGAGGAGTTCCAGGTTTACTTTCAAAATAAAATCCTTGGCTCGGATCCGATGACGCATGCTTTGCT